CCTTCTTCCTCTTTAGTGGTTTGGTCTGGAAGTAAGAGGCCTAAAATGAATTAGTGTTCCGTGAGATAATAAAATAAACATAACAAATAAAATATATTATATAGAGAGAGTTATTAATACATAGCCTTGTCAACCGTTTATATCTGTCCGCTCTTTTTGACGAATCCTAATTTCAATGCACATCAATTTTAATCAAATTAATTAGTGTTTTGTGAGATAATAAACCAATCAAAATTATAAAGCTGGTTATGGAAAACCCCCCTTATAGCACACATTTTGTTGTCTCTCTTATCCCACAAAGCCATTTCAGGTCTTGTCACTATTAACAAGTGGATTCAAAAGAGATGATGCTTTTATGATAACAATGGTAGGAAAAATGCACAAGAAAAAGTTTAATTTTGGGTAATAGAGCATCCTAATCCTTTAGATTTGATTTAGTTGAATTTATTTATTAGGATAAACCTCTTGAGATGTACCATCCCATTTTAAAGGGGGTCACACAATGTATTGCAATCACATAATAATAATAATAATAATAATGATGATGATGATGATGATGATAATCATCATCATCATCATCATAATAATCATAACACAAAAAAACAGAAATAACAGAACATCCCTGAAACAACAAAGCTCCAACATTACCAAAAGGAGAGGAAAGGCATCACAAGATTATAAGAGAAAAAAAAATAGTAATACAAAATATACTACAAAAATGTCATTTATTTTAGTTGAATTGATTTATTAGGATGATTGATATGATATAATCACATCATATAATCATATGAATGACATAATATGTATATATGTATATGTATGCATGTGTGTGTGTGTATAGATAATCAATATAGTCAATATTTTTGGTAAAATTATGTCAAATTTTTAATTTATTTTGACTTTATGATGACAAGTGGCCTTATTTGATGCAAATAATGTAACATTGTTTCATCCATGTTTTGAAATTTTATTTAATTATCATTTATTTGATTTATTTGACATTAATAATAGTTATTATAAACATTAAAATGAACACTTCAGTTCCATCCAATTTGCTTTGTGTATATGCAAAATTATTAATTCATTCATTTTCTTTTCGGCTTAGTCTTCTTATTATTCAGGGAATGAACCACTGTCTTATCCAGCAAATGTTTTACACAGCGGATGCCCTTCCACCTGCAACCTAGTACTGGAAAACACCCATACACACTCAGTCATACACATACACTTTAGCCAATTTAGCTTATTCAATTCATCTATGCTATGTCTTTGGACTTGGGGGGGAAACCGGATAAGGTGAACATGCCCACTCCACACAGAAACGCCTACTGACCCAGCCGGGGCTCGAACCAGAAACCCTCCTGCCGTGAGGCAACCGTTCTATCCACTGTGCCACCGTGACGCCCCATGTAAAATCACTCATGAAAAAGTATTTATACTAATAATGTGTCTGTGTGTATAAATGATCAATATAGTCAACATTTTTGGTCAAATTTAGTCACATTTTAAATTTATTTTTACTTTATGTTGAAAAGTGGCATTATTTGGGACAAATACTGGAATATTAATGTTATTTTTAGTTATTATAAGCATTTAAATAGACACATTTATTCAGTATGCGTTGTGTGTATATATATATATAAACTCATGTAAAAATAGGACGTGCTGTTTTTTAGCTATATTTATACTAATAGTGTGTGTGTGTGTGTGTGTGTGTGTGTGTGTGTGTGTGTGTGTGTGTGTGTGTGTGTGTGTATACAGACTGGTTTAAAAACAAATTGAATGTCAGAATTCTGGCATAATAACCCGCTTCATGCACATGCGAAGGTTTACACTTTGGCGGACCTAAAAGCTGCCAAATTAGCATGCTAAACGGGCAGAATAGGTGTTAAATAAACAGATGGGCGTTTAGAGAGCTAAATATTCCTCTCTGCTCCTGATAGTCAGAGCGCCTGCAGCTTCAATCACTGTTCTCAGATCAGCGCGGCTCTGCACAGCCTTTCACCTGCACCGGCTTTGTGTCTCACTCAAACCATTGAAGTGTCTTTGATGTCGTGCCTGCAAATGTTTCCATCACCTTTGGTCTGCAGTGTGTGGGTGTGCGTGTGTGTGTGTGTGTGTGTGTTTGTATGCGAGTTTGTGTTTGTATGCAAGTGTATATGCGTTTATGTGTGTATGTATGTTTGTGTGTGTATTTATGTTTGTTTGTTTGTTGTTGAGCCGGGAATCGAACTTGAGTATTATTATTTATATTATCTTAAATACCCTCAAATCAAAATGTATTCCCATTTTCACAAACAAATTAAGCAGCACAATAATAATAATAATAATAATAATAATAATATTTCCTGAGCAGCAGATCATTAGAATGGAAGGATCTAAAGGATCATGTGACACCAAAAACTGCAGTAATAATGCAGAAATTTCAGCTTTGTATCACAGAAATAAGTAGCGTTACAATTCATTACCATATAAAATATCGTACATTGCAGTAATATTTCACAATGGTACTGTATTTTTTGGGTCACACTTTACAATAAGGCTTTATGGTTAAATGTTAGTTCATGCATTTACTAATAACACCTGTGCAGCATTTATTAATCATAGTTCAACATCTACTAATGTATTTTTGACGTCCAAATTCATAATTGTTATCATTAGTTAATGCACTGTGAGTTAACGTGAATGACTTTATTAACTAACATAAGCAAAGATTAACAAATGCCATATTAAATGTATTGTGCGTATTACTTTCATGTTAGTAAATACATGAACTAATACAACCTTATTGTCAAATTTGACCATTTTTGATCATATACAGCTTAGATGAGCATACGAGAGCATTACACAAACGCTGATTATTGTATACCTATCATACGCAATAGAAAATAACGGTGAAAATGGAGCTGTGTCTCACCACACAATTTCACAGTCCATAAGGCTTCCTGGACGGTCGCTTTCTCTCATTTATACCCTCTTAATGACCTACTTAGCTAAATATAGATCAAAAGTTTCCGCTGTGAAAGTTTGGTGTGAGCGCTTGACAGGCCATGCGTTGAATTCGGGTCTGAACGGCACCTGAGGACACTTGAGTCTCTTACTCTCACTACCCGCATGACTGACGGCGGCATGCTGTTTATTACTTTAAGAAAATCATCTGAAGCACTTGTGACGAATGCAGATTATGTTTGAGCTTCATATTAGTTGGCATGGGCAGGTTTAAGATTCTGAGGGTATAACCTTGGATAAAAATATCATCGTATTGTGATCCCTGCTCTAAAATAAGTTATTGTTTTAAATGTCTCTGTAAAAATAAGGCTGGGCGATTTAGCCTAAAATCAAAATCACGATTAATTGAACATTTTAACTCGATTATGATTAATCAACAATTTTTAAATGTTTTTTTTTTTTTTTGCCGTAGCTTCCAATGATCGTTAATGTAATGCCAAGTAAGGCTCAAGAATGAGTCCATCATCTTGACCTGAGATCAAAATCAGTCACAGCCTTTAACAGAGCAGGGTCACGTGACATGAGGGAAAGTAATTGAAAAAATCATCTTGAAAAAATTTTGATCGATTACAGGATCTGAATGTCGATTTTGATTACTTTTCGATTAATCGCTCAGCCCTTGTAAAAAAACAAACACTTTTGCTCCCATTGAACACTTATTATATTATATTATATTATATTATATTATATTATATTATATTATATTATATTATATTATATTATTTTGTATAATTTTATATTGTTTTATATTATATTGTTTTATATAATATATTATTTTATATTATATTATTTTGTATTATTTTATATTATATTATATTATATTATATTATATANTATTATATTATNTTATATTATATTATATAATATTTTATTATTTTACATTATATTATTTTACATTATATTATTTTGTATTATTTTATATTATATATATTATATTATATTATATTATATTATATTATATTATATTATATTATATTATATTATATTATGTAAAAAACAAACATTGAATCAAGATAAACAACATCAACATCTAATGTACACCGAAACCAATTCTGTGTCTTCTACTTGATTTTGATTTGATTTATTTATTTGAACAGAACATCATATACTTAAAACAATTATTAACTAAATACATTTCATCATAGGCAACACAAATATTTACTCATCCATATACACTTAAAGTAACAAATGAATTTATTCAGTTCGAAATGGAGCGGGATGAAGCACAAGCTTCAAGTAAATTAAGCAAATTTTTTGTAAAAAATTAAGTCGAAAAACCTAACTTAACTGCCTTAAGGTGTAACGAGTTGTTTTTACTTTTTAGATTGTCTCAGATATATAAGAAAGTAAAGAAAATGTTCTTTTAATTAGTCTTTTTGTGTGTAAACTGTTGCTTTAATTATGATTTTGGCTGCTGGCTAGCCTAACATTTTGTGCTTACAACAATATTTCAGCGACAAGCAATTTCTCTCAGCACCAAAAGGACATGACAGAAACATTTAAATACCAGCCACTGCACTCCCAAAGTAATGCTAAAGGTGTTTAATCTAAGTAATACATATTAATCTTTATTTTAAACATATTAAACTTTGCATATTGTTTCAAGCTGTCTGCTAGGTATTATAGTTTTACGATCTGAGGTGAACTTTCTGCTGCTGCTTTCAGTAGTATGGCAATAAATGTGATGTAAAATGGCATTCAAACTCACACTGTGAGCATTTAACACTGAATAAAGCACATAATCAGTACCTGAGGTGATCATTGTCTTAGTAGTTAATGCTGTTGCTCTGTCACGACGTTGCAGAAAACTCCTTTGCTTTGTTAAAAACTTCCTTTAACATGGAAATGAGAGCCTTTTTTGTGTGTCTCTGTGCCGTAACGTGTTGTTTGGACATGGTGTAAATCCACTGTCATAACCGTATGGTGTAACAAACTGCAAATAATAAGTGTGCAATGTAAGGTAATGATATGAAATGTTTGTGTCTCGACAGACATGCAGACGTGTGAAGAGCGCTGACTGTGGCTCTCTGCAGAAACATGGAGCCTTGTGCCGAGTCTCAGGCTGATCCGGACAGAGCTCAGGTAAACGCTGCTGTGCTTTATGTGCACATAATGAGCCATTAGCGCTCGCACAGACCTCACAAAGAGCAGAACAAAGCTGAACGTGCTGACACCAAACACACTGTAACATCTCTCACACTTTCTGGTCCATTAGCCTCCACAAAAGACTGTCAGTGATGTACAGCTCATGATCACTAATGCATGCTGGGATGCTGATGTGGCTATATATATATATGTATATGTATATATGTATGTGTGCATGTATGTGTATGTATATATATATATATATATATATATATATATATATATATATATATATGTGTATGTATATATATATATATATATATATATATATATATATATATATATATATATACATATATATGTGTGTATATATATATATATATATATATATATATATATATATATATATATATATATATATATAGATATATATATATATAT